AGAGAGAGAGAGAGAGAGAGAGAGAGAGAGAGAGAGAGAGAGAGAGAGAGAGAGAGAGAGAGAGAGTAAAAGTTAAAATATCATTTCTCATATCGCCACGAGCACTTTACATACGAACACTTCACTACAGAAATAGAGGAGCTAACCTCCTATTGCCAGATTTTTTCGCTAACATTACAGATGGGTCATTGCTAGACAACAGAGAGAGTAGGGAGGAAGTACAGAGTGTGAGAGAGACAAAAAGAAAGAGAGAGCCACACACTCCTTGAGTGCCACATGTCATCTCTGATGTTGTTGTGGACCCTTCACATCCCACGCCAAACAAGCGCGCCCGCCTGCTGTTTCTCTAGCGGATCCCCGCCTGCTGTCTGCTTCCAATTCAGTAAGGGGAGACAAAAGGGCCCCGGCCCCGGGCGGACGTTTGGGCCCGGGCCCGGGCCCGGGCCCTGGGCGAACGTTTGGCCAGGTTAAATGTCCGATCGGACAATCCAGACATTTGAAGGGATCCCGGACCACCCGCCCGGGCAATAGAGTACGCTAGGAAAGAACTCAACTGTTGGGGGAAGGAGAGGAGAAGCATCACAGACCATATTCATTAGAGCGAAGAGCTGAGCTACAGGTGGTTTGCCTGACTTTCCCTGTTTATAAGAGTTGCCTTGTTGGAAAATTGACTCCCATAATATTTAATTTAGATATAGGCTCATATAGCACCACAAGAAGAAAATAAGGAGACCGCAAGAGCTCAGGCGGGGGGGGATTTGCCGTTGGGTGAACATGTGTTTACGAATCTTATATAGCTACCGAAGGGACAACTTCACTCTTATATGATTGAACCTACCGTCTTCCCCCAAATACAATGTACAGTCATTATAGCTGAATTTTGGGCACCTTTGGGTCTAGATACAGCAATAATGACTGTACATTGTACTCGGATGAATTTTGCACAACTTTGTACGTTGTACTCGGATGAATGTTGCACAACTTTGGGACTAGGTACAGCAATAATGACTGCTCGTTGAATTCCGGTAAACACGGCGGTAGGATGCAGTCCTCAGAAGTTTGAACTGCGATCGTGTTTGCGAATGGCAGCAAAAATAATGGGGTTGGTTGAAGGCATAACAGCACCACAAATGGTCACAAAGGGTGACGAAAACAAGAGACAAGGGTGAGAAACAGGGCCTCTCTCCACTGCTCAACATGCAACAAGAATCTGGACTGCAATCCAGAGTAGATACATTTGGACTGATCAAACATTTTTCAAATGTACCCAACCTCTAACAGGTCCAAATACATATAGTATGTGCTGTGTAGTGGAGCGAGGCCCACGCCCACAGTCACAGAAGGTGACAAAGGAGTGATATGAAGGGAATACAAACCTTTCCGTATGATACATAGTCTTCGGACTCTTTGTTGATTTGTTTTTTTTTTTTGGCCTCCCGATCTTAGGGCATTCTCACACGACAAGTTATTTGAAGCCGGACCTGTCCTCGATCACGAACACATTCATTGAGAAAGTCCCCTACCGTTTTCAGCCGAATAGAACGCCCAGTCATTATAGCTGTATTCGGTTCAGTTTTCAGTCCAGATAGCGCTATAATGACCAGGCGTTCTATTCAGGTGGAGACGGTAGTCTCGAGTCTGTATGCACCGATTTCACAATGTTCACATTTTCATTCGTGCACGGGCACTTCCTGTGTCTCACAGTTGAGGGTTGTTCTCATGCTCAGCTTTGAGCCACCAGCATTCCCACTCTCTCCGATGTCAGCTTTTGCCTGCATCAACAAAGAACGCAATAGGGGGGTAGGCTCTGGCAGTGGCAGCCATATGCATCACATTCGCACCACGATTCTTCTGAGCGGCAAAACTCTTTTTTTTTTTTTCCTTACCTTCGGAAGATTTCAGAATATTTCTCCATTCTTCGGCATGCTTTATCAAAGGAAATGAGATCGTAATGGCCAACTTGTTTCACCCCCGCCCGCAGACCACCGACCTCCATAAAGCCAAGCCAAGCCAAGCCCAGCCACGCCAAGTCAAGCCCAGCCTATCTGCCCACCCACGCCCCCCCCCTTGTTAACCGCAGCGTCCAAGCGGCCAACTGCCTTCCTCCGAACATAACTCATATGCATTGTAAACAAATATACACAACGCACGCTATACTCGAAATCAGCCCTTCCTATTCGAAAATAACTGAATTGAATACAACGCATACGTGTTCTATTGGAATCACCAATGCTTTTGTGAAAACTCGAATGCACTGCATTGCATACACGTTACGCTCGGGGGGAAAGACGGTAAGACGGTAGCTCAGCAGAAACAGCGGCAGCAGACCTCCAATAACCTCCAATAACCTCCAATAACCTCCAATAACCACGAGTCAAGTTAAACAGAACACACACCTGGCCTGCAAACAAACTCTAAGTCGCCCAGTTTCCCCCCTGACCTTCATGAACACCGTTGTTGTACTAAAGTCCAACGACGACGCAACGACACACGGCCCCTCTTCACCACACTCCTGCTTCACAACCTGTTGTCAAATAACAACCCTTTCTCACAAGCTTCATCATCATCATTTCATAGATTTTATTTCTCATCAACCCACATATAACATTACTCGGGCCACACACACATACGCGCGCGTGCGTGCGCACGCACACAACACACACACAGAGTTGTTGCTTGACCCCTTTGCGCTGAAGGTCTGCGTTGCTGTCTCTCTTGACATTGCTATACAATACGGTATTGATCACGGAAAGCCATATTCAAGGCCTGCCTTTGGCCTTTCATGATGTTCAGCAGAAGAGCCAGCCCCAAGAGAGTCAACCTCCATCACTTTCGAAATACGGACCCCTTACCTGATTAAATTTCTCATCAACTGGGGTATCTAACAGTCCTCAAAACCGTAGCAGGGGTACAACCGTACATCGACACACCCACCCACACCCACCCAGAGACACGTGAATGCGTGTAGCCGTTAACCCTCTTTGAGCTGCTTGACCTTCATGATGTAGTTCTGCCTTGCCGTCTCTTGTGACATTCCTATTCAATACAAAACGACAATTAAACACCACAAGTCATGCACCCACAACACAGAGGGGCCAAAGCAATTGCACCACGTGCACACCGATCCATCGTACCACACCACATAGCAACCAACCGTTGCCGAAGACATCATGACAGATGGCATGGCAGAGGCACTTGCATAGCAACCAACATAATAGTAGTGGCAAAGGAGGGGAAGGGGAAGGGGAAGGGGAAGGGGAAGAGGAAAGGGGGGGGAGACTCTCCTCCAAGCTAGAAAATCAGCACATCCGCCATTCCTCTTGTATTCAAAACAGTTCTCTCTATGTGATCAAACAGTAGTCATTCACATCCATTCACAACTATTTTTTTAATGTTTTAATTCACAACAGTTTTCAGTCAGGCATCATCATAATATTTGTGATTGCTCCTCGCCTCTGTGGTCTCCCACGCCCCTCTCCCCCTTCTTTGACGGTAATTCCATCTGGATTCTAACTTCAACTTGGATCTGTATTTCAGATAGGCCCGTCGGTGCAAGGGTCCTACTACTGGCACAGCTTTGTTTTCTATAGCACCTAAGATTGGCCATTCTTCGCTCCACAAGTCGAAAAAAGATTGGCCCGCACCCAAAGACACAACTTAGACAAGGAATGACCGGCAGATAGATCCATCCATCATGTGTGAGTGCATTCCTAGATAGTCTTTGACTCTTTGGGGGTGGTCCAATCTTTCCTAAATGGTCTTTGGGGGTGGTCCAATCTTTCCTAGATGGTCTTTGGGGGTGGTCCAATCTTTCCTAGATGGTCTTCGGGTGTGGTCCAATCTTTTCTAACTTGCCGAGTGAAGAATGGCCAAAATATCGCTCTCGCTTAGGTGCCATGGGAAAGAAAGTTGTGCCAGCAGTAGTAGGACACTCGTACCGACGGGACTAGGTCAGTTGGTACATCCATCATCAAACTGTGGAAATACCTGGGGCCCACCAATTCGACCGTGATATGTACCTGGGCCCAAGTTGGGATCCAGATGGAACTAGATGCATTGAATTCCGCTTGCCTGGGCCCGGTCGATTCGACTGCGATATCTCAGGGCTGTCGCCATTTCTTCAGAACAAAAACAAAAAGAACCCGCGTACACATCCGGTGCCGGCTCAAGGAACAAGCAGCGGCAGATAGGTTCATCATGTGTGAGTGCCTTCCTAGATGAACGGCAAATGCGCAATTGCTACCATGGCCGCAATCGGTCAGATGCCTCTTTTCCTTCCTTCTTCGTTGCAATTTGGACATCCCCGCCGCATTGCTCTCGTTCTCAAATGCGTGTTTAAAAATTCACGACATCCGGGTGGTTGGTGTTCCCCCGTACTACACATACACTAGTGAGAGGATGGTTGGTTGGTGTTCCCCCGTGCTACACATACACTAGTGAGAGGATGAGATAGATGAGTACTAGCAACAAAAATGAGATAGATGAGAGAAGAATATAGCCTTTAAAAAAAAAAAAAAAAAAAAAAAAAAAAAAAAACCTGCAGAGACACACAGGCAAGGGTTGTAACTTTCCGTCCAGGTTCAATGTTGAGGGGTCGAAAGTCACACCTCTGGCCTTGGAAGGGCATCAGAAAAGTCCTCAGGCCTTGGAAGGAACTGCTTCAATGGCCAGAAGAGGCACCCGTGGCCCTTGGAGCCAGTAGTTGAATTGAATTTAGCGAACTCGACAGCTCGACAGTTAGGCCTGACTCAGATGAAGCAGTCGACGAGTCTTAGATCTCTCAAGAGTCGACCACAGGCACAGATCTCAGACACAGCCCCCACGGCCCACTGGGTCCAGGCACACATTGGCAGATAACAAATCTGAGCCGTTCAAGATTGGGAAATCTCAACCGTCTGAGGCGGCAACGGCGAGATAGGTCAAACCGCATCAACACTACAAATAAGCTGCCTGCCCTGCCCACCCGACTCGACTCTTTCATTCCTGCCTCGGGCTGCTTGATGCTGGAGCGCCGCTCCCACAGCATTAGCGCTGTAGGAGGCAGAGACAAGGACAGAGGGAGTGAGTGCCAGGGGCCAGAGTGAATGCCCCCTGCACCATAGCTAGGTCCAGGGGGGAGAGAGAGAGAGAGAGAGAGAGAGAGAGAGAGAGAGAGAGAGAGAGAGAGAGAAAGGGGGGGGTGTTACTTGACTTACTTGGTGTGGCTCGTTTTGATTAGACAGCTTGCTTCTGAAGACTGGCAGTTCTGAGTACCAACCTCCACAGCTGAGCTTTGTGCCGGAGGAGGTTGGACCTGCCTGTGGAGTGAGACTGCTGCAGGGAAACTACATCAGTGACTTCAGTAGTTGGATAGATGCTGAGATGGTGATATTAAGTGGGAAAGCCCTGGAGGTCGAACGGGGGTTATCGCCTGTGATGACCTCACACACGGGGCTGACATTGTGAGCTTCCCGTAAGTGGGTTACTTACATTCGCCTCTACCTCTACTCCATCCTCCGGCCAGGGTGTCTGGCGGCCGTGCCGAACTGGACTTTCTGGCTTTTTTTTCAGTTCTAAATCATCTGTCAATGGCATTGGCTTTCTTTCTGGAGCTAACTCCATGTTCTGCGTACATGTGTCGTCAAACAGAGCTGCCAGGCAGAGAGGGGGAAGAGGACAAGATAACATGATAATATGATATCTGTGTCTTGTGGGTGCAATACAAGATAAACAGAGTTTATCCTGAGGAATTGGCCTCAGCCTTCTTTCTGGAGCTAGCTCCATGTTCCTCAGGCTAAATCATCTGTCAATGGCATTGGCCTGAGGAATTGAGCTGTCAAACAGAGCTGACATGCTTCGTGCTTTGCCCCACAAGATAAAGCCAATTCCTCAATTCCTCAGGCCAATAAACCATCATACTGCAAGAGAGCATACATGGCAGTGGGAAATAAAAACAAGGGAGGAGCCAACTGACAGGGGTGGTCAATAAACCATCCTACTGCAAGAGAGTATATGCAGCCATGCAAAATCCAAATGAAAACGACGAAAAGAAAAATCAGATAACAGGGGGCAGCTTTGCCTGCAGGCAACAAAAAAAAATTACCTTCATTCTTCTTCCATGCATCCCACTTGTATCGCCCCTTCTGATCAAACATCCCAGGCCGGCCTGCGCGGAGGTAACATCAAAATTGCAGTACATCAACATGGCATTAGAATGACTAGATCCCTCCCTTTGTAAAGTGCATTGGTCGGAGGAGCCGTTGTTCTCTTGAAACGGCACGCACCAATATGGATTTTGGGTTTCGTTTGTGTGTTCGTGCGATGAACTGCACCAATGGATGTGTGTTCCTTTCTGCCTTTGTCGTAGAGCAGACGGTGCGCTAAGGGCACCACTTGGAATGTGCAGGAAGGAGGAAGTAAGGGAGGGAGGAGGTTGGGTGGATTAGGGAGCGGCGGAGATACCAGATGATGTGGGTGAGAAAGGGGAGATTGTCTTGTCGTGCTCAGTGGTGATTCACCCACCACCCACCACAGCAGGCTTGACACACTGTAGACAGGTTAACCAGACATGTAGGATCAGTTACGTTATCCTCGAGTCCTCTAGAGTCCTCTAGAGTCCTCTAGAGTCCTCTAGAGTCCTCTAGTCCAGGCAGCATAAGAGAAGCGACAGCAATCATCAATGATCAGCAGCCAACTGTCCGGAAATGCGCCTTTTCTGCATCATCGCTATCTTCGCAGTGCAAAGCTCTGACTTGTGCAGTGTTGCCCGGCCACATATAGCGTTGTCAGTGGAAGTCGCAGGCAGATAAGGTTGACGTATTTGTTAACCTCAATTCTCTTGGGATGATTTATATTTATTTTTTAAATATCTCTAAAAATTTTAAAAATTGAATTGGATCTTTATCAAAGTTAAGACCTTTGATCCACAACTTTTACTCTTAGGATGATTTGGTTCTTTGACAGTAGAAACATTTTTACATGCATACCAAAACAATCTAGCAACTGAGGTCTCCAGCACAGGATATGAGCACTGACTGTTTATTTAGCACTGTCCCTCCCACTAAAGGCACCGTCAAGTGCCGTCCCTGCTGGGGTAATTGATGAGACCTCATGCTTACAACTCTGGTTGACTAAATTATTTTTGTCATGATTTAAAAATAAGAGAGACCTCAGTAGTAGTTAATTACATCGACCGATCGAAAACTCAACCAATCAATACCTTCAATGAATGAATCAATCAATCCAGTCCATCAATCCAACCAACAGCCAATCAGATCAACCAGTCCACTCAACAAATCAATCCAATTAACAAATCAATCCACTCCAATCCAATCAATCAATCAATCCAATCCAAAACCCCTCAGTTGACCAATACCAATCGATCATTCAATCTCCACTTAGACATACTATACAGCTGACCATCAAGCAAAATGCAGGTATTTCCTCACTTGTGTTGACATCTCCTTGTTTTGCCTGCTTGAACAAGCCGTAGAGAATCAACTTGTCTAGATCACTGCAAGATGGCAGCTGTGTAGCCTCCTTCGCTGCGCGCTCAAATTCCTCCTGCAGATGCATGCGAGTCAAAATCCACAGCACGTACACGACCGTACCCCGACATGCACACACACACACACACACATACACACACACACACACACACACACACACAAACACAAAGATACACTGTGTTTAGTCAACATGGCAACACACCCAAACAAACATTTCCATGCCCCTACCAGTCCATGACAGTCTGTTTTTGTGGAGTTGTGGAATTGTGGGAGGACAACCCAAACCATGTTCCGTTTCCTAGTCTTGCATTGCTCGAGGGATACTGCATTCACTGTCAAGAGAAGGAAGAATGCATGTCAAAGCATTATCCAACCACCCATCCATCCTTGCAAAGGCAGTATGTACTCAATGCATAGTCTTGCGTACTCTCTCTCTCTCTCGCTCGCTCGCTCGCTGTGCCCCTCTTCTCCCTCCTCCGCGGGGTGACACATGGCCATTGCACCGTGACAAGTATCTTTGGAGAGGAGAGGGAGTATAAGTTGCTGGCTCAAGATGGGCATATGTCAATTGGTGTTGCAAGGTGAGCGAGGGTCCAGGTACAAGCTGCTTTGCATGCCTGGAGATACGGAGGCAGAATGTCAGGAGCAGTCTGAGCACGCTTTCCATGCGTTAGCAGTAGGAAAGAGAACGTAGAAAAGGGTGGGGGGGGAAGGGGGGCGTGGCGCCCAATGCTTCGCTCGCGCTGGGTGGAGCGGGTAGTGGAGTGTAACTCAAGGTTGTTGACTGACGCTTTGCACTAGATGGAGAAGGGAGGAGACAAAAGTGTGGCCAGTTGTCATCAAATGCCTCGCCCACGTGGATGGCTGCTACAAGACAATTCACACGTGTCCCCGCCGGAACGGGCAATGTGAGGAGGAGGTTCCTTGATGCACCGCATAAATTGGAGGAGGAGGAGTAGTCGAGCACCGGCACAACATATCATACTCCCGCACAGGTTAGTACTGGGCCAAAGACGCTGCAGACCATCTACGAGTAGCGACTGATGTGTAGGTAGCTCCAAGGATAGACTACGGCTCCTTGTCTATGGCCACACACACGTGCCCTGTTCCCTCTACACGCGAGCGCGAAGTCCTCGCACCTGTATCTGACCCACAAAGCGGCCTGAATACGGAAACATCAACTCCACGTGCTTTTTTCCCCCCAAAACAACAACAACAACAAGGGCAATCACCCGTAAACGTACCCGGGCAACCACACTAACCCGCGTTGTATTCGGTTACCCGGGGCCTCCTTATTTAGATGACTGATTGTTGTGAGTCTAACTTTCAAGATCAACCCCAAGAAGTGTGAGTGGGCCACGCGTAAGCTAAACTGGCTGATGCTGCCAGGACAAAACCAGGTTGAATTTCGAGGTGCCCAACCTCAATTTGCCATGGTTAATATGAATTTTCCTTTGGTGAAAACAAAAAATAAAAGAAAAGAGGAGAGGAAATGCCTGTGCCACCGTGGCCTGGCCCCCGCATCCAGTGCCTTCTCCACGTTCCTTTATCTGTTTCCCTTGCCGCCCTTTGGTGGGTTTTTTTCGGTCGGCGGGGGGTGGGGGCGGAGGAGGGGGGGGCGGAGGGGGAGGGGGGTAAGGGGGAGAGAATGTAGTGGCATGCAGGCCTGTCGCTACGTAAGATCAAATTACAAAGAAAAAAAAAAAGGAAAATTTTCGAAATGCCCCTGAAGTTTGGGTTTATTTGCGTTTTGCCCCTCCGACGGCCGACTTACCCTGGTTTGCCCCTGCGGCCTCTTGACCTTTCGTGCAGGCCCCTGTCAGTGAGGGACGGGAATTGCCCTACCAGACCGCCGGTCCCATTTCCCGTGGTGGCTGTTCTATTTGCCATTTCGCGATGGATGCATCTTCCTGAGATGCTCTCCAGCGGGAAGGCCCTAGGAATTCGAATTCAAACTCCTTGCTTTTCCAGGCCGCCGCCGCGCAAAAAAACAGCACACCACTCATCGTTCTGTCCACTGCTGCAATCCACCATGGAGTTCATTCTTCTGCTACTGCGACCTGCGGCCGCCTTGGTGGAGGTCCTCGGAGTGCGTTGCCGAAGGTGAGTGTTCCTCCCCCTTCACGTCTCTCTCTCTCTCTCTCGGTCTGTGTGTGTCCGTGTGTGTGTGTGTGTGTGTGGCACAATTGTCACTATCACAACCCCGTTCAGCACGGTCATGGGGCGATGAAAATCGCCCATCTCTGTTGCTCATGCCGCTCACCTCTGTCACTCTCGGCACGTGTACACGTGTACACTTGTGCATATATGCACAAAGTCGTGCCATTGGTTGCTTGGCCCATTAACGCCTCCTACACTTGTGCATGCATGCACAAAGTCGTGCCATTGGTTGCTTGCCCCATTAMCGCCCCGCCACGACCAACGAACCACATCCTCGAAACTGTCGGAATTACCGCCACATCGTCTACTTCCACCTCCCTCTCCTCTTCCCCCTTCAGCTCCTTTGTACTGCAGCCAACTCTCTCTCTCTCTCTCTCTCTCTCTCTCTCTCTCTCTCTCTGTGTGTGTGTGTGTGTGAGTGACAAAGCTGTGGAGCTAGGAGGGTAATGTACAGCCGAGAACATACCATTAGAGATGGCGGTACCCAATGGCTTTCCGGTAGGGGCATACTGGAAATTTGGCACCGGTACCGGTAGGGGCATATTGAACATATTTCAGGCCCACGCGATGCCAGGGTTTTTTAGGAAACTTGAATCGTTGTCAGAGGGGCACATCAGGGTAAGTCGGCCATCGGAGGGGCAAAACGCAAATAAACGCAAACTTCAGGGGCATTTCGAAAATTTTCCCAAAAAAAAACATGGGCGGAGGGTGAAGAAGCATTCTTTTGCGGTTTTTCCAATCACTGGGGAAAAAAAAGAAAAAAAAAATCGTCGGCCAACGCCTATATATGCTATGTGGACCTCGCTCCACTACTCTCCAAATGCGCAAAATGAGAATGAATTTTCCGCTAGAGCATGGAGAGATTCACCGCCATATTTTTGTCTTTTGTGCATGTGGAGAATAGTGTAGCGCCAATATTAGTACTTTTTTTTTTACGTTTTCTTACTTTTTTTTTAATACTCTTTGTTTTTCTTTTTTTTTCTTTTCTTTTTTTTTTCTTTTTTTTTTTTTACTATGTTCTTCTCTCAAATTCTTTTTTCGCCTTTCACTACCTTCCTACCACTACTACTAAGGACTATATAGAGGGGACCCCTGCAAGCATAGGGCCTCGCAAACGAGGTAATTCATAATGATTCTTTTTTTTTTTTTTCAAAAGAACGGTAATTGCCATTAGCAGAACAAAGATAACGGAGGGGTCGGGAATCCTCCACAAACAACCCGGAGACTCGTGACCAAAAAGGAGGACTTCTTTTTTTTTTTTTTTTTCAAAAGAACGGTAATTGCCATTAGCAGAACAAAGATATAGGAGACGCCGGGAATCCTCTACAAACAACCCGGAGACTCGTGACCAAAAAGGAGGACTGGGGACCTTTACCCCGCTTAGGTGTTGGTGTTAGAAGGACTCCAGCTGCAGGAATGGCCAGCTCCAGACCGCTGCACTGAGCTTCTAACCCAAAAGAAAAGGAACAAAAAAGGAACCAATCCCTCAAGGCAAAAAAAGCCAAACAACCCTAATTAAAAGAAGCAAAACCAAAAGAGCCCTACCAGCAAACCTACTAAAAGAAAAGGAAAAAACAAGAACCAATCCCTCAAGGCAATAAAAGCCAAACAACCCTAATTAAAAGAAGCAAAACCAAAAGGGTCCTACCAGCAAACCTACTAAAAGAAAAGGAAAAAAAAAAGAACCAATCCCTCAAGGCAGAAAAAGCCAAACAACCCTAATTGAAAGAAGCAGAACCAAAAGGGGGCCCCACCAGCAAACCTACTAAAAGGAGGAAAAAAAAGCATTCCTCACGGCAGAAAAACCAAACAATTTGCAAAAGGAAACAATCTCAATGCTACCACCTCCACTGAACAAAAGAAACCCATAACCTATCTACTAACTAAACAGACCATATTCCATCTAGGTTACTATTCTACGCAACAAGTCGTCTAAATGCGACCGCTAGGAACCACCAAGGATCCTGGTAGAGGACGTATCCAGCTCCCAACTCAGTCTTTCCCCCAGCCTGTCTACCTACGACCGAATCATAACCGAGCGAACCAGGTTAGTTAGTGGCTGTACCAATCTTATTACGCTTCTTCCTAACTTGAATGATTCTGAAAAAAGGTGTTTCAAAAGCATCAAGACAAGATCATACAATCCTAAAATTGGAAAAAAAAAAAAAAAAAAAAAATCCTAAATTGAATCTCCAATTCCAAATTGATTAGACCTAACACTTAGAAAAAAACACCGACGTCACGAAAGACAATTAGAAGCATGATTATGGGGTGGGCATACAACGCTCGCACCCAGAAAAAAAATCTACTGCAAAAAAAAAAAAAAAAAAAAAAAAA